GGAACCACAAATCAATAGTTCGTTCAAATCAATCAATCGTTCCGAAATCTAGGGGAAGAACATTGTTTTTGAAAAAATAATTATTACATGCCATTTTGAGGAGTTCCCACATTTTTTTAAATTTCCTAATGGTATGTTCCCTTCCAGGCGCGTCTCATTTCACTACGTCGAATTATTCAAATTCATATCTTCATTAAGAGAGGCAACACATTCGAACGCCGGTTCAAGCTGAAGCTTGTTTAATGTCTCAAAAAATACTGAAATCATATGCTCGTATTTTATAGAACCCGAAGTTATTATTCTGTAATCTGGCAGAAAGATTTTAAATACCTATCTTTAATTTTTAAAATTAATTCAATCGAAAACATTTTTGAAAGATATGGCTTTCTCAGAAATCAGAATGACAGGACTAACAAAATATATAATTGTAAAAATCTTTTTAAAAAATTATAATTTCGATAATACTTTGCCTTTATTGATTACATGTTATGATTCTGTATAAGATATTATATAAATTAACTTGTATTTTCAGCATTAATAGAAAAAAATATATTTCACAATTTCCACCGAGTTCGCTCTCCCAGCCTACGCAGGGCAGTAATATTCACTCCAGCCTTACCTGAAAAAAAACAAGTACCTGAATATGCTATTGCTTACAGAATGAGTACAGATATACATACGAAATTTTGTCCTTTAAAACTTGACTCAATTTAATTCAGTACTAAAGAATCCATGGGATCGAGATTATTTGTTACAATTCCCAGATTCTAGTAATTATTACCAACATTTTATTTTCTGGCATACTACTTACGAAGTGTAGTATAGAGAACGTATTGTGATGCTGCTGAAAAATGGCATTTTTGGGGGCAGAAAAACTCGTTTTATGAGTCCCTGATACCAAAAAAGTGTGTAATTCTTGTTCCTATATTTCATAAATTGCTTCCTCTAATTTGTAATGTAGTCAAAATCTACGTTTCGTGACTCCTTGGTATCGAAACATTGATTTACAGCAAAACGGCTATCTGTGGTCTACACCAGTGTCAGAAGCGTTGAAACGATTTTATCCAAAAATGACGGAGATGGTTTGAAAGGAGATGGGCATTTTTGTCATTTAGAAAATGTTGCTTCAGCATCATGTATTCCTACCTCCCCAAAAATTTAGAAAATCGTTTCGAACGCGCAAGACCCAAATTTGAGATCGGTCAAAGAGTATCAAGTTTTAAAAGAAAGAAAAAAAACTGTGTGTGGTGAAAACGCTAAAGCGCCAGAGTTGTTCACAGACTGACGGACATACATTTCTGGAAAAAATAATAAAAAAGGAGTCCCCTTCAACGCATGTTTTCCTCAAAATCTCGAAATAGATGTTTTAATTACTACACTTTTTCGGGGTAGTATACGAGAAAGTGTCTAAATGAAGTCGTAGGCTTCCGCGGCCAGAGTCATGATCTGGGCTGTCCGGGTGACGCCGCGTCGATTGCTGAGGTGCTACCTCAGCCATCGACGCGGCGACACCCGGACAGCCCAGATCACGAGAAAGTGTCTACCCTTGTGCGTTCTCTTCAAATAATGCCATATCTAGCACAATAGAACCGAAATAAAATATATATACTACAGTTAACGTATTGTATAAAATAATTTAACTACTATTTTATTCAATGCTCCAGGGGATTCATACGTTGTCCAATATACTATCAAATTGAATGTTTAGTACAAAGTTAAAGTTACACTTACCGTATATTTCTAGAAGATCTGATTTGGCCTTGTGTAACGTATTCCGACTTTGCATGCTTTGTGGTGTATTCACATTGTTCCTCCATTCTTTCACGTTTGCATTGTTTAAATTTACTTGTCCTCTAGCGCAGCTCTTCGAGTTGAATATGGAATCTTGATTGTTCATGACGAACGTTCGCTGCATTTCGCCCTCCGGATTTTTATTATTATTATTCGTTGAATCAAACTCCTGTGGCGAATTATTCTCCTGAAACGTCGAGAAAGCGTCTTGCGATCTAATCTTTTTCATCTTCTTCTGCAGCACTTGAATCTCCCTGACACACGACTTGAGGTTCCGAACCGCGCCCTTGTCTTGCAGCATGACGCCCCTCATGACGTTGGTGAAGCCGAGTCCGTAGCGCACTTTCTTCCTGCGGGCGGCCGGGAGGCCTTGGCCGGCGGTGGCGGCGGTGTGCGCCTGCGCGTCCGGGACGAGCGCGGAGTAGTCGGCGGCGTGGGTGGCGGCGCGCACGAAGCGGATGACGCCCGACAGCCGCGACGAGGGCCTCGCCTCGATCTCGCTCAGGGCGGTCGAGGTGCAGAGGGCGTCGCCCGGCGCCGTCTCCGAGAAGTCGGGCAGCGAGCCCGAGAGCGCGCCGGCCGTCGTGGCCAGCGCGTCGTCGGAGCGGCGGGCGGGCCCAGGCGGACAGCGACGAGGCGGGCGGCGACGGCGAGGCGAGCGGCAGGGCGAGCGCAGCGAGGCGGGGGCGAAGCTGCTCTCGGAGACTCGGCCCGCGCCCTCGCCCTCAGCCGTCGCCCGCCGTCGCCTCGTCCCGCACTCGCCAAGGCCTCGCCCGCGCCGCACCTCAGCGCCGGCCGCCCTCCGCGCGCGGCGCTCGTCTGCGACGGAAGAGAGGCGCTTTCAGCAACAGACCTCGGCATTTTGCGCTAGGCGTAAGGGACGTCCTTAGTGGAGTTCTAGTGCTAGGCGTAAGGAGACGTCCTTAACGGAGTCTGCGGCTAGGCGTAAGGAGAACTCCTTAACGGAGTTCTAGCCGCTAGGCGTAAGACGTCGTTACCGGAGTTCTAGCGGCTAGGCGTAAGGAGACTTCCTTAACGGATTCTACGCTCTAGGCGTAAGACGTCCTTAACGGAGTTCTAGCGCTAGGCGTAAGGAGACGTCCTTAAAGGAGTTCTAGCGCCAGGCGTAAGGAGACGTCCTTAACGGAGTTTTAGCGCTAGGCGTAAGGAGACGTCCCTCAACTCGAAGGGCCCATTCACAATGCGCACATAAACATAAGCATGGCGTTTCTGCAAGGTCGTGGCAATGGAACCCGGCCAGGAGCAGCCTGCCCTACAAAAGGCGCTTAAGAGTCACTATGAAAGCCGCGATGAAATCGGAGATCGCGCCCCACGCGCCGCAAGTAAAGTGAATCACGCTGCGAATGCAGGAGATCCGAGTTGCGCCCGTGCACAGTGAAATGTTGGGTAAAAAATGTGTTGTATCTTATTTCCCGGAAGAAAGTACGTGTTTCCTGGGTAACGGTTAAGCTTTTGCACAAACATGTTATTTTTACGTTTTCAACATCAGATTACGCGTGATCTTTGCTGTCCAGGTGACGCCGCGCCGAAGACTGTTTGCCGACGTTTCGACCATCTTGTCGTGGTCTTCCTCAGGGCTTGTATCCACCGTGATGGTCAGCGCTCGGGTGTATATGCCTGACCATCACGGCGCATACCAGCCCTGAGGAAGACCACGACAAGATGGTCGAAACATCGGCAACACAGCCTTCGACGTGGCGTCACACGGACAGCCAAGATCACGCACATGACTCTGGAAACGGAAGCCTACGACTTCAACATCAGATTAGGCGTACAGTATACATTAATGTGCAGGTGTCGCAATTAAATGTTACAATCGTCTTGACCATGTAAGAGAGGGGACGGCATGCGGAAGGTGTGTGAGTGTTTCCAATGATTATGTGTGTTAAATTTCATTAAACGAAGTTACCCATGTGATATTTGCCCCTGATTGGTAGGCTACTTGTCATGCACTGGTGTTCGACAAGTCATTTTCTGAAGCAGTCAGAGAGACTTCGTGAACGTGTTTAATAATATACCTGTCGATAGAAAATAAGTCCAGCTTGCACAATTAATAAAATGATAACAATAATTAAGAGGTGTGCATTCCTACAGCATTAGATCAGTGGCAAATCACTATTTTCTTGAAGCACACATGTAAATTAATTATCCATTTGATGCCATCCAATGTAACCATATATTTATAACACACCAATAGAACACACTTTTCTCTCCTATTGCTCATACTCGTTGAAATATTTGTATGCTTTTTGTACATTCCAATCAAATTAATATATTGGTTTAAAATTTCAATTATCTGTTGTGCCTTGTATCTTGCACCTACATATTTACATTTTCAAAATGACATTTTCTTCAAGGTGGTTAACTTGTAATGACAATTCTCACTTTGGTTGGTGCATCCAGAACCATCCGAATAGTGGCAGATGAATATTTCCTAAATGTGTAGGTATCAAACTTCGATTATTCATTGATCTGCTGTCCCGCAACTGTATCACACATACAGAGTGACCTTTTATTCCACTGTGATAAGCACACATTGACAACTGTCACTATGGTTTGTGGCAGGGATGACACATTTCTAAAAATATAATAAAAATCACTTTTAATTGAAACTAGATTTTTTCTATTCATAGATGTTTTTATTTAAATGATATTAATATCAATTAGGTACTTTTTGCAGGTATAATTATGAAATTGATGAAATACCAATTTTATTACATTTTCTACTCTTTTCTATTAGTTGATAATATTATTATTTAAATAGTTCTTCAAAACTTTTAATTTTATTTCGGGGCCATTAATATGTACAGATATAAGTCTAATTTCCATGTGGATAATACTGTAACACTCTTTTTTTAAAATATTTGAAATAAGAATTAAATTTAGTTAATACATATGCAAGAAGTGCATAATATTTAATAGAAAAAAATAATTAAAGCAAAACTGCATGAAATACCCAAGAAGAGCAAACAAATCTTTATAATTAATTAATTGATTTCTTATTGAGTTTACTGCAGTTTGTTGTAGATCTTTTCATAGAATCACATTCACATATTTTTTCATTAAAACATTTCTGCTTAATATTAATGTTCTAATTTATTTTTTTTAAAGAAAGCCTATCTGTAGTTTTGAAATTTTGGATATTATGAGGATGGTCCTAGAAATCTAAGTATCTTGCCTTACTTACCCATCAGCATTGACAATGAGTCATATTCAATGTCTTCAGGAATTTTCTTTTTCTTGACTGAGGACTTTTTTGATAAAAATTTATCATATTTTCTTGATATGAAATCAGGCATGTCTGAAAATTCTTTGTCAATTTTTCTCTCTAAGATTTCATCCAAGTTGAAAGATGAATCTGATAAAAGATATAAATATGTATATTTTTTTCACATTTAAGAGACATAAAAATTAAAATATCGGAAAAACATTTATTTCAAAACCACATGGAGAAACTAGCACTAAAATCAGCTTTTCTTCAATCCCAATTTTCACAAAGATAATAATGAATTTAATTTCAATCTTTAATTTTTTTTTTTTTTTTTTTATGTAGCTACATTTTCATGTTCATGTAGCAACACATCACGTCACATTTGACCAAAACTAAAGAAAAAGCAGTGTGATGTAAAAATTAACTTCTCAAATTTCCTAGGGTAAAATACTTTAAAAGTGCATTTTTAACTACTGGTGGAATTTTAAATAAAAATTATACTTTAACTCACAGTCTCAACTCACCTGAAGCAAGAAGTCTGGTACCTTTTGGAAAGAACTGGTTCAAACTTTCATTATAAGTTAGATTTTGCAAGCGAAATACATTTTCCTAAAAGAGATAGCAAAAGTAAATTGAACACAAAAGAATTCTATCAAAATTAAGAGAAAATAAGAAAGTTAAAGCTTCACTATATAATCTTTACATTACAGACCTTCTGACTCATAGATAAGACCTTACCTCAGTTTTCTTAAGTTTTTCTTCTAATTCCAACATTTCACGTTCCTCTATTGCAGGTTGCTTCTGGGCACGACGCATTTGAAAATTTGATCTGTTAGAATGGACTTGACCTGGGGTTATAGTTTGGGATTTTTTTCTAGTTTCAGATTTTACCATAGTTTTCTTTTCTAGAATTTTCTTTTTTGAATTATTATAATCCCAAAATTTAACTTGTGATTTAGTCCAATCCTTCTCTTGTAATTTTTCATTATTCTGATATTGTGACACAGATTTACGTAGTATTGTACACATTGCAAAACCAAACTCTTGAATACTCTAAATGCACAGTTCTAAATATTCCTTCCAATACAACAAACATTCACTCCTGTAGTCAAGATAATTTTAATAATCTACTTGTGGTCCCTTATTATCTCACAAGAAATTAAATAGTTGCATTTGATTCTCTACATATACTTGATTCAATAAATAATCATAATAATCAAGTGAAATGATTTCTGTTGTGGTTCCTAATATAAATAATAAACTTTTATAAGCCCAACCATTAATAATTCATTGATATTCTTAAAGTAAGGAAACAATAGGGCAACAATTTTTCCATAGAGCATTCCATTCCTATAGCAACAAACAAAAACAGTTTCATAATAAATTATTTACAAATAAAATATAAAATTACAAAATTTTTCATAAAACAGAGTTAATTTTGATAACTTGATTTTGCAAGATCAGTTCTTCAATATCTGTTATAAGATTATAACACACAAACATAACCATATAAAACAATAGAAAGTCACTATTCCAAATTATATACTAATTTAAAATCAAAGTTAATATTAAAGAATCATATTACTTTTAATATTCCATGGGATCGAATATTAGAGTCTCATTGAGAAAATCGAGAATGTAAAATTACTGAGATATAATACTTATTTTGTTTGACCTCTGGTTCCAAACATTCTGATCCCTTCCATCACGTATTTGTAACTTTCAGTAGTACCTAGTAATCATATTGTGAAGTTTATCACTCGTTCAAATGTAATCTTAAGGCGTAAAAGTTAAAGGTATTCTATGGGAGGACACAATTAAATTATTAATATGCTGTAACCCTCTACGGGTGCTGAATGTGTTGCAGGGACCAACGGCGGACAATCGGCGTTATTGAAATATGTTATACGTACACATAAATGCGCAACGTCGCTGTATCTTGTAACCTACGTGAGTCGTAAAACATTTTCAAGAGTCAATGTACATTTGGTTTTACTTTTTTTACACTTGCTTCGTAAGAAGAGAAAGTTATGTAATAGTGCGCGTGTAAACAAGGAATATTCGTCAGAAAAAAACTCTTTATTGACGGGCCCTGGTAACGAAAATGTGGATAAATCTTGTTGTTACATGTTGTAAATTACTTCCTCTAATACGTGATGTAAACAGAATCTATATTTTGTGGGTCCTTGATACCGAAAAATCGCCTGACGGGAAAACGTGTGTCTGACCGTCTGTGCTCAACGCTAGTACCTAAAGAGTTCAGCCTAGTTTCTCCAAAATTGATATTCCCTGATCCATAAAAGAACTCCAGACTTTGAGCGTTTCAACAGAGTATTTTGATTTTTGAGAGTATACTTTACATAAAGCCTCAAAAACATATCTCAAAAATTTTCTCAAAAATAGCACCAACATTTTTTATTAAACTTTTTTTCTCGGATAGCATAAAAAGACACGTAAGGGAATTGTGCAGATCTCATGTTCGTTGAAATCCTTAAATTTTCGATAGTAGAAAAGTGCAATTTTTTGGCGTCTTCCTACAACTATAATACTGAAGATAGAGATTTCCTTAATGAAACTTATTTCTCAAAGACAGATATTGAAATAAGGTTCTGAACAATTTTTAAAAAATATGAGTAATCTTCGTGTAATTGTGCGCTTATTTCGGCAATTTTTAATTGGTTGTACAGATTTTTTCTCTAAAACGGCACTAATTGTTTTTAAATTTTCTCCTCGTATGTATCAAGGGACGGTAAAAAATGGGTATAGTCCCATTTTCGTTGAACTCTCTGTATTTTCGAAAATTGCAAAAAGTTAACGTTTCAGAACTACAGAATTATAGATAAAGGTTTTTGCCATCGACAAAGTCTGTTGCAAAAGAGCAGCTCTTTAAAAAGGTCATGTACAATTATTTTTAAAAACTAGAAGATTTTGCGTAATTTGTATCTGAAATGTTTGAAATGTCTACTTTTTTTTTATCAAAAACAGTTCCAAGTTTTTTCTTCGAGTTTTCCCATGGATAGGAGAAAGGACGCTTAAAATAATGGCGTGGGTCTCAATTTCGTTGAACCATCTGAATGTTTGAAAATTGCAAATTTAGTAATAACGCGAGAAAGTATGTGCTGTTGTAGCACCACCAGTTTTAATTCTAGCATTATAAACAACCTTTTACGTAAGAAGAAATCGTTCATTAAAGGTTATCTTACAGCACAGGTTATGATGTATGAGCCGTTAATGGAAAGAATAATTGTACCAATCGCAGCTAGAGAATCGAGAGGAGGCATAGCGATAAACCGAATATCTGACCAACGTTTGTTGTTGTTTTTTTTCGCACAGATGTCAAATATCCGTGAATTTGCAATAAAGTAGTTTCCATAAATTAACTTTGATTTTCGATAAGTTAACATATACATTTATAATGCTGTTAGGACAAAAAAAATAATGTTTGCAACTCGTTTATAATGTTCGTACAAATTTGAAAACTCGCACCTAACGTCACTCGTTTTTAAAACGCACTCATGCTAAAAAGCTTAACATTATAAACTCATTGAAAAATATAATATTGTAATAAACGTAATATACATGTGTCCCTGAAAACACTGAACACTTCCTTGGTACTGCCTCTTGAGGTCCTTATTTCGTATTATATCACATTAAATGTGTGCCACCTAAATGCGGAAAAATATCCAATAGATATGTTACTAATTATTTTTATTTCTAAAAAATATTTAAAAATTGTTAATCAAACACGTTGATATTTACTCCTCTTGCATACGCTTTTTATTAAGAGATTGAGAACTTCCAGATTATCACTTTATGTAATCTATATATTTAAAATACTACGTATTTTCGTTCAGAAAGGAATTACAGATTTGTACTCTTCTCTGGATCTGCCCCTGCCACGGGATACTATATGTACAGATCTTGGTTAATATGAATCATTTCAATTACATTTTTTAAAACATGTTTGTGTAACTTGGTGTTCATAGCAAAAATCAGAAGTCATTTTCTGTTGAAGACGAAATCCTCATGTTTTTTCTCGAAACTAGAAGTGCAAAACTAGCACGTACTTTCTCGCCCGTACTTTCACGTAAAATTTTCGAAAAATTGTTCATGACCTTATTTCAAAGTCAATTTTTAAGGATTTCATTCAGAGAAAAAAATCTATCTTTATAACTGTAGTTCTAGGAAGACGCGGGAAAATGTTTGAATTTTTGTAACTTTCATCACAAAAATCAGTTTTCCACGATCATGAGACCTGCACAATGCTCTTAAACGTCCTTCACACAATTAACATAAGAATTTAATCAAAACGATAAAGCAATTTTTTTGAAAATGTCCCAGGGGCTTTATGTGCTATCCCCCCAAATTTTAAAAACTCGGTTTCTAATTGAAGGGGCGTGACATCAGTGAAATCGATAGGGGAATGTCAATGTTAGAGACAATTGGCTGAACGGTTTAGCCGCTAAAGTTGTTCACAGGTCAACGGACGGACAGACGGACGTCCAGAGGTTTTGCTGTCAATCGATTTTTCGGTATCAAGGACCTACAAAATGGGATACACCACGTGTTAGAAGATTTTCCTCCTAAATTTTGTTGGATTTATGCACTTTTCGTTACCAGGGTCCTGTAATGAGAATTTTTCTGCCAAAACTTTTCGTAGTTTTTTCGCGCAGCATTACATAACTTACTCTCTACTGCATAAGTGCTAGCGAGAAAGTACAAAAATAAAAGAAATGGATGAGGTAGGTCTAACTCCTTCACATGAGACACCTCGAAATCCAGAGAAAATTAGGAGAACTTACAATAACACTGATGACCTTTTCTGTTTTAAAGCTATCTAAAACAAACAAATGAAAAAAGTCTAAAGATGAAATAATCCTTTCAATTTCCCGTTTCCCAATTTCCGTTTTGACATACGAGCGCTATTTGTGTTGTTTACAGTAACTTAAAAGATTCATCTTGACCCAAAAATGGAATTAAATCGTGAACATTTTCGTGCGATTATTTTTAACAACTTTCGACGTGGATTAACTCAGCCACAGTGCATGGATGAACTAAATTCAATTTTTGGCGATGAAGCTCCATCAAGGACCAGTGTTTATTGATGGTATGGTGAATTCGTGGTCGTAGGTCACTCCAAGACGAATTTCACGAAGGTCGTCCAAAATTAGTTTTGTTCCGAAAACCATTGATGTTGTGCGTGAACTGATATTGCAAGATCGTCATGTGACCTATCGTGAGATTGAGAATTAGGCAGTAGTGGGACAGCAACACATTCATATTGCAGTGAACATTTGGACTGTCAATGTGATTTGTTCGCGTTGGATGCTCCCACCAATTTTGTTAATCCGCAAAAAAGGCTGTGTCGATTGGTCGAAAGGAAAATGCTCAAAAAAATACCGATCGCGGTGCTTCGAAACCCGTCTTATAAACATCGTGACAGGTGATGAATCGGGATGTTACGCGCATGAGCCCGAAAGTAACATGCAGTCGACTGTATGGGTGTTTCAAGATAAGTCAAAATCAACAAAAAGTTTTCGGCAGCGAAGCACTTCAAACAGATGGTCGGCTTTTTTTTTGCGGAAAATGACAGAACCGTACCCTCA